GAGCACACGCCGTCACGCAGGCTTGGCGCCGCTGGAGGCTGGCTTGGGGGCAGCTGGGGGCTGCCGGGCCCCAGCTGAGCATTCGCGGACAGGGGCCGCGTCTGTCCTCGAGCTTTCAGGCCGCGGGGACCTACGGGACTGGCTGGAGCCGGCTGCGCGCTGCGGTGTGGCCTCCTGCTCTAGCAGCTCGTCTCGCGGGGCGGGCGGGGCGGGCGGGCGGCGGCTGCTGCTTTCCCTCACTGGCCCCTGCGCCCAGCTGGGCAAGCGCGGTGGCCCCTGAGCTTGGAGACAAAGCCTGGGTGCCGGGCCGGCGGCCTCCCCCCGCTCCCCGAGGGCCTGGCCCAGAGCCCCCGCACCAGCGCGGCAGGCTGAGGCCGGCCTGGGCCCTGCGGGGAGGCCGGCGGCGGCCACTGCCTTGGCCCCATCAGCGCCAGGCGTCCATGCCGGGGCCCGGGGGTGCGGGTGCAGGGATTCCGGCGTGGCCCTGCGTAAGCCGTGGCCCCTCAGTCTGGGCAGCGAGCCGCAGAGCCCAGCCCCCCAGCGGGCTCAGGGCACCCGCATCTCAGGAGGGGTTGGGAGCTGCTGCGGGCCCCCCAGACTGGCTGTGTGGGGGGGGGCGCTGCCCCTGCATGGGTGTCTGTCTCCTGGGGGAGGGCTGCTTCGGCCTCTGAGGGGCTTTGTGACATGGGGGGACCCTTAGAGGCTTGAGGGGAGCTCCCTGCAGGTGGGGCTTGACGCCGGCACCCAGCCCATCTGTCCTCCCATCTTCGGCTGATCACCCCCTCTCCAGGGTACTTTCGGGCCAAGAGTGGGGGAGGGGCACCCCCCAGCAACTCAGGTGTAAACTGCGGGTGCCACTAGCTCTAGCAACAGCGCAGGGAGGGTCTGCGCCCCTCACGTCTGAGCCGGCCTCTGGGAGGTGGGACCCTGCCTGGATCCGGGCCTTTCCGGAAGCGCCTGCTTTCTCCTGCTCCCTCAAGCTTGAGGGGATGACTGTGGGGCAGCCACAGTGAGAGCGAGAGTCGGGGAGACAGAGCTGTGGACACGGGGTAACAGGCAGTTCTTGGAGCAGCCCCAAGGGGTTCTGGCATCATCGCCGCTTTACAGATGAGGAAACAAAGGCACACAAGTGAAGTGGCTTGCCCAGGCGCACAGACAGTGTCGCTGCCGCGGGCCTCTGGGGGGCCTGTGGGGGGCTGGGGCCCTTGCCGGGGGGGCGAGGAAGCGACCCGTGGCCCGTCCTTCAGCGTCTGCTCGCCGGCTACTGGCGCTGCTGTCGGTCAAGTTTGCCCTCCAGGGAACCAGGGCACCAGGCGGGTGCGGTGACTCCAGGCCCCACACGCCCCTGTTCCCGACGTCTGAGGGCTGGGGCCTCTCCCACCCAGCCACTCATCCCTGTCCCTCCGTGGGCGCCCGCGGGCAGGTGGCGGCGGGGCCGCGGTGGCTGTGCCCCTTGAGCTGTGCCCCTGAGCCCACGCACCCCGACCTGGTGACCAGAGGGCCCCTGGCAGGAGACGGGCGTGCGGCCCGGCCTCCTGGCTCCTCCTCGTGGGCTGCCGCGTCGGCCTCTCCCCCTTTTAACGTGGCCTGTTGGTGCCACTGGGGTGGGCAAGAGCCTCCTCGCCACCCGCCCCTGGCCATAGGCTGTCCTCGCCCACATGCTCCAAGTAGCTTTTCTCCACAGTGTGTGCGTGCGTGTCGCGGGGGAGGGAGGTGTCCGGGGGGCCGACACGGCGCCCCACTGACCCCAGCACTCGGGTTATTGGCAAACACGGGCACCGTGGCGCACGGCTGTCGTAGGAATGCCGCAGCCGTCACAACCTGCCACCCCCTGCCTGCGCGGGCCCAGCGGCTGCCTGGCTCTCACACCACCCGCCGGCCTCGGTCATTTCCTCCTGCGGGCATGTCCCTGGTGCCTTTGGGGGGGAGGAGGCAGGCAGCAGTGGGCGATACCTCCCTGCCCAGCGCTGCCCTCAGATGCCAGTGGGTTTCAGCTTCCCTGGGGGCCATTTCCAGAGGTTCTCGGCAGCTGGTCGCAGCAAGTCCGGCTGTAACCAGACTGCCCAGGAAGGGTCCCTTGGCTGGCCGGTGTGTGAAATGAGGATCAGGGGCCGTGTGGACTGCTGGGGGCGGGGTCGTTGGAGACTCCCAGGGCGGGACGGGGAGTCACCGGAGGATCACCACAGTCAGCATCAAACTTCCCTTGAGTCTGGGGCTGCAGACTTTGTTTCCTGGGCCCCAGCACACCCATGTGAAGCTGTTCTTCTGTGAGAAGCCCTGGTGGACTGTCGGGCTCCAGTGCTCGCTGCACGAATAGATGCTCGTTAAGGTGAGGGGAAGGGCTCCCTTTGTCTGGGATCTACAGTGTGCTCTGACCTTTCACATTTTTAGGTCATTCAAGACCATCTGTCCCTTACAGTGGGAGGGGTCAGCAGGACCCGGTCTCCAGAGGACGCAGGGGCTGGTTAGCGCTGTGCCCAAGATCACACAGCGAGGGGTAGGGGAGCACTCACCCCCCACAGCTTGGCGCCAGACCTTCCAGATGCCACCTTGAGGGCACAGAGGCCCATGAGAGGAGGGGCACATGGCTCGGCTTGAGACCTTCAGCTCTGCCAGGGAGGGACTGCACAGGGCACTGTCTTAGCTCCTGTCCCACTGCGGCTCTGGGGAAGTGTGAGGGGCCCCAAAGCCTAGGACGGTGAGGAGCCTGAGGGGTTTCCAGTGGTGGGAGCAGCTGCCTGGGTAAAGCCCCTTCAGTGGCAAGGCCGCACTGTGGGGCTATCCTGCCATGTGCTACGGGCTCTGTGCCAGGCCGTGCCACCTGGGTGAGGGGTCTGGCCCACGAGCAGGCCTGCTTCTGCCGATACTTAACCAGGGCTTCAGGCTAAAAACCTGCTCGTGCAGACGCCGCTCCCTTAGAACAGCCCAGACCCACGGTCTCCGCTCTCCTGGGCCTTTCTCCCGTTGCTGGTCTCTGCTCTGCGCGCTTCCCCAGAGGCCGGCCGTCCAGTCAGAGAGGCTCAGCACTGCTCTCCAGGAACCCGCCGCCCGTGGCCCTCCGGCCCCAGGTCACTGGTTACTAGTGACGGGGCTGTTTTGTCGCCCTGGGCCGTGAATACCTGCACTCAGCAGGGTTCGGCCAGCCTGCTACGGTGCTTTGGGGGGCTGTACTCAGGGCAGCTAAGACCTGGCCGATCAGCGCCGTTCCCGGACGCTCGAAGGGAGCCACAGCAACCGTGTGACAGTTTCTAGGGACCCGCGTGAGGGTTGAACGTCTCAATCCGCGCTGGGCTTGTTCCTACCAAGTCCTAAGTCCCACGGGTGGGAGGAAGGTGGGGCCTGGGTGGGTAGGTGTGGGGTGACCGAGGGTCAGGGCTGCTGCGCACGCTGCGGCCGGAAGGCGAGCAGCCTGGGGCTGGAGAGCACCCCACCTTACGCAGAAGTGTGCGGACCGGCTTAATGACGCTCACGAACAGGCTGCTGGTTCTTTGAGGCTTTGCCCTGCGCTTTGGCTCCTTCATGGTCTTGGTATTTTCATGAGCACTAGATTGTGCTGCCTGGTGGTCATGCTGTGGCACAAACGCCATTTCTTCATTTCCCCTCGTCTAAGGAGGCTCCGTTACGGGAGGAGCTGCAGGTGGGAAAGGAGCGCTTGCCTGACAGTATCCCTCAGGTGGAGGCCAGCTCCTGGGCACCCAGAAAGGCCTTGCCCCACCGAGGCTGACCAGAGACCCCAGCCTGGAAATTTATGCACAGCTGCTTTATCAGTCAGCCATTCCTCACACAATCTCCGTACCAATCCTGTGGAGAGAGAGGAACTATTAAATATCTCAGCTTCAGAGATGACAAAACTGAGGTCCAGGGAGTGCTGAGTCACCTGTCCAGGGCTAGCCAGGTGTGGAAGGGCCAGGCCCCGAGCCCAGAGGGATGACAACTGTCAAGTCTAAGTCCTCTGTAGAGCCCCACTGTGGGCGCCTCCTGTGAGGCCAGGGCCAGAGCGGGGCTGCACGAGGTCTGGGCTCCCTGGCACCAGCGCAGGGGAGAACCGGGTTATATCCTGGGACACTCAGCGGCCGCAAGAAGCCAGCTGGACGTTGGGAGCCTGCTCCCCAGAGGGCTGGTGGAGATGTGGTGGGTGACACTGTGCTTGTACCGCAGGTACGGGCATGGTTTGGCCATTTTGATTGAGCACAGTGACTCAGGTGGGCCCAGCACAGCTGTGTGGTGTCCGGGGTGCCTGGAGCAGCAGATGGAATCGAGCGCGTCAAGTGTTCCCCTAGCTACAGACACAGCCCAGGGCCTGGGCTTGGGGCTCGCGGCCACAGCTGTGCGTCACATCACTCGGCCAGAAAGGGGCCCCCTGAGCCCCGCTTGCAGCCGTCCACCTTGGGCTGCAGCTACCTGCACCCGCCCCTGGTCCCGATGGGTTGGGGCACAGAAGCTGCTTGTGGCCCTAACCAGGGGAGGGCTGCAGCGAGGAGCGGGCAGGCGGGCAGGCAGGGGCCAGGATGTTTTCACCTTCATCTGTGTGGCCCAGTGGGTGGGCCCTGGATGAAGGGGATCCTTCTCCTCCACTGCCTGCCCGGTCAGCGGTTCCTCAGCGCCAGGGCTGGCATGGAGGGCCCCACATTCAGAGTGAAACCAGCGGCTCTGCTGGCTGATCTCTGCTCCCACAGGGGGCTGGGGCCAGAGCGGAACTGAAAGGGAGACGAGGCCTGTTGCCCTCCTCCTGGCCTACTTCCCCCCACCCCGCGATCCTGAGGGCGAGGAGCCAGAGGGCGGAACAGGGTAGGAGAAGGAAGGAAACAGCCCTTCAGATGTTTGCCCCCTGCACACAGGAAACAGAGACCCTCTGAGTGGAGACCCACCGTTTGCTCCCCACGCCCCACTGCCTTCTAAACTGAGAGACTGGAGAGGCAGGCAGTGGGCGGGAGAAACCTGACAGGGCGAAACGGGCAGACCCTCGATGTCACTCCGGGCTGGGATCTCCGAGCCGAGCTTCCTCGGAGCTGCCTGAATCTGCAGCCTCAGTGCAGGGGGCACAGGGGTTCCTAGAGCTGCGACCAGGGCTCCGAGGAGACAGACTTGGGGTGACCTAGACTGGGAAAAGCCCCAGTTTCGCTAGTCCTCTCTGCTGCCAGAAGGTAGCCGCCTCATCCCTGTGCAGCCGAGTCGGTTGAGCGTGTGGCTTTGGGGACTGGCCCGAGGCCATCTGAAACGGCAGCGGGAAGAGGTGGTGGAGGGCGGATCCCCCAAAGCCTTTGAGCCTGCTCTTTGCTTTCATCTCTCCACCCCGGTTCGTGTTGGCTTTCTTAGGACGGGGAACTTCCAGGAGCAGCTGGCCGGCTCCAGCCCTTAGGGGAGAGCCGTGGGAGGGGCTATGGACCAACCCTGTCAGCTTGCCCCTCGCCTCCCTGGCACCCTGGCTGAAGCCCAGGAGCCCGTGGCTGAGCTGCTGTCACTCCCCACCCTGTAGACAAACCTGCACGCTGTGTTCTGAGACGCGGGAGCAGGACACCTCAGGCAGGCGTGGGAGGGAAGCTTTGGCCCTTTCTGAGCCCTAAGTTGACCTGACCTGCAAGATTTCAGTTTCTGCTCTTTTAAATGTGGTTTACTTTCCAGACCTGCTATTAAGCCCGAAGAGGCCTGTACTAGAGGGGAACTAATAATGGAGGAGCCATAGGCCTGCGTGACTCCTGGCATAGTTGACCCCACGGAGGGAAATGCAGCTTGGGTTGGTTGACGCTCACATGCTCTTGGGTTTGCTCGGCCTGGTTAGGCAGCTCTGCGCCACAGTACGAGCATGCTTCCACGGAAGGGAAGGCAACCACAACTGGAATGTCCACAGGTCCAGGGGAATGGGGTGTGTTGGGGGGGGGACTTGGCCCACACAGGTTTCTGGGAGTCTTGTGTGTCAGGGTGGGGAGTGCACCTGAGAGGTTAGACAGGCGAAGGGCCCTGCACGCCGTGTTGTTAGACTTTACCGCAGGATTTAGGTGCTCGCTCAGGAAGCTGTTACAGCCCTTGAGGAAAACTCAGAGGCCTGGGTGAAGGGCCCTTTGGGGCAAGTCTTGAGCGCTGCCCCCGACCCGGTTTCCTAGAGTTCAAAGCCCAAGATCCAAGCAGCCTGCTCCAGTATCCAGGAGGTCCGGCGGTGCACGCGCCTCGAGATGCCGGACAATCTCTACACCTTTGTGCTGAAGGTGAGTGACAGAGCTTTCCATGCCCTGGGGCACTACAGCACCCCCTGGGAACCCCACAGCTCTTCCCCTCCTCCCTACCAGGTGAAGGACCGGACAGACATCATCTTTGAGGTGGGAGACGAGCAGCAGCTGAATTCGTGGATGGCTGAGCTCCGGGAGTGCACAGGCCAAGGGTGAGGCCCGGGCCTAGGGCCCCGCCCCGGCACAGCTTTCACGGCCACCCTTGAACAGAGACTTGAGCCCCGCTCTTCTCCAGCAGGCTGGAGGGCCCCGAGCCAGAGACGCAGACTCCCTCAGCTCTAGAGCCAGGCGTGTCCGGTTCCCCAAGGGGAAGCACGGATTCCCTGGACCAAGGTGCGCACCGCGGGCCTGTGGGGACCCCGCCTTCGCCTGGGGCCGGAGGAGCCGGCCACTACCAATCACTCGCACCCATTTCTCTTCTACCAGGTGCTTCTCAGGGGGGTTTGCTGGACCCAGGCTGCCAGAAAACAGATCACTTCCTGTCCTGCTACCCCTGGTTCCACGGCCCCATCTCCCGCGTGAAGGCGGCGCAGCTGGTTCAGCTGCAGGGCGCCGATGCCCACGGCGTGTTCCTGGTCCGGCAGAGCGAGACTCGGCGCGGGGAGTACGTGCTCACATTCAACTTCCAGGGCATAGCCAAGGTACGGGCAAGGCGTGGAGCGGTGCCCCCACCCCAGGCTCCACGCCCTCGGGCGCCAATGTCTGAACGCCGTCTGCCCCCGCAGCACCTGCGCCTGGCGCTGACGGAGCGGGGCCAGTGCCGAGTGCAGCACCTGCACTTCCCCTCGGTCGTGGACATGCTGTGCCACTTCCAGCGCTCGCCCATCCCCCTCGAGTGCGGGGCCGCCTGTGACGTCCGGCTGTCCAGCTATGTGGTTGTCGTCTCCCAGCCACCAGGTGTGATCCTTGCCCTAGATGAGGGGGTGGGTGGCCGTGGCGGCGGGGCGGGGGCGGGTAAAGAAAGGGCGGCGGCAGACCCCAGGGCCCAGCGCCCGAGCTGCACTCACCCTGCCCGCTGAGGACTGACAGGTGGTTTCTCTTCATCGCTTGTGCCCCCAGGTTCCTCCAACACTGTCCTGTTTCCTTTCTCCCTCTCCCACTGGGATTCCGAGCTGGGCCTCCCCCACCTCAGCTCTTCGGGCTGTCCCCGCGGGCTCAGCCCAGAGGGCCTCCCAGGCCGATCCTCTCCCCCAGAGCAGATCTTCCACCTGGTGCCTTCGCCTGAAGAACTGGCCAGCAGCCTGCGGCGCCTGGAGCCCGAGCCCGCGAGTCGAGCCCGGGACTCAGACTACGACATGGACTCCTCCCCCCGGAGCCACCTGCGGGCCATAGACAACCAGTACACACCTCTCTGAGGGGGCGAGGACTCGGGCCTCAGCGAGGCCCACGGGAGCACAAGCAAGCAGAGAAGTGAAGTCGTGAATGTAACTTTCTTTCCTTCCTTCCAGAGAGAGATGTAAGGGACACTGTTAACTGCAAGGTCCAGTTTGGATGTGACCCTTCTGTTAGGCCTGTTAAAGGGCCTCTTGTGAGTTTCGCCCCTCGCCTGGCCTTTTCCTCATTGTTTACAGACGCAGTTCTTGTTTATGGACTAGCTCCTGCCAGTCCCTGGCACCGGGCCCCTTCACCTCAGCAAGGAGGTGGTGGGGGGAGGGCCGGAGCTGGCGGCGGAACCCTGTTGTCTCCTTCACTGACACGGTCTCAGCTGGTGACAGATTTGCGGGGGGTGGGGGGAGGTATCAGGAAGCCCAAAACACTAACAAGTCTGGATTCTCCCTGCCTAGCTAGCTTCAGTGCACGCGGCAGGCCTACCGCACCAAGACCACACCTGTCCTGCTTCGGCTCTCAGCTCTAGGACCAGCTCTGGCAGAGGGACAAGCTAAAGGTCGATCATTGTTTTAAACATTTTACCTCAGATTAACTTTTCAAGGATTCAGGTTTCAAAACCAAATCATTGCTTATCTCATTGCACTGTTTGAACTGATACCCATGCAACTTTTTTCTTTTTGTCATCAGAGGAAGCTATGCAAACCCTACTCGACTCGCTCCCAGCTGGAGCCAGTCTACCCTCCTCAGCACTGTCAGCCTTTCAGGGACATTCAGGCAATTACTGAAATAGGAGGGTGGCGAGGAACAGCCCTACCCTGGTGCCTTACGACTAAACAAACTGGATTCTGATCTATAGCAGCTTTATGGTGAGAGTTCAACTGAGGGGTTGAGGGAGGGACAAGAGACAGGGGAGGCCTCCTGAGTCCCTTCTAGTAAACGCTTCGGCAGGGCTGCCTCAGAGCCTTCCACGCATCTTAACGGCTTACTGATACCCCACAAGCTGGTTTCAGGCTCATTCCTGAGCCAGAATGGAAGCTCGGGATCTGGTGCCACAGCTAACGAGAAGCCTTTTCAACAGCTCCCAAGCAAAGTTCTGTTCCAGCCGGCTACTGCTTCATCTGATGGAGACTGTGTGTGCAGATCACACGTGGGCACACAGAATCTCCACCGTCCAGGGAGGCCCTGAAGTCAGCGCTCCACCTCTACTTGCCTTCCACAGATAGAATTTTGGCTCCGGGTCCCAGAACTTCCGTGTGAGGGCTCAGAGACAGGGGCGGTGACAGCGGAGCTGCGGAACAGAGCCGCCAGGCTCGCACAGTGGCTTCCAGGAAAGTGGCAGTCAGCAGACCTTACCTGGCATAGACCCGGCACCAAGGCTAACCCTGGCCGAAACTACTGATTGCCTTATCTGAGGTGAGGGTTTGGTCTGTTCTCTCCGGTCATTCTCTGTCCTCTACGAGAACAGACAATCACTTTTAGAACTCCTGAGGGGAGAGGCAAATAGCCACTTTTTAAACCAATACTCTTGGGTGTTTTCACAGATTGTAAAGCAGATGCAACCCGGGCCCAGCTGTGTGGTCCGTTTCTAAGGAGGTTTGCCTTTACTTTCTACATGTTTAAGCAGGTTCCTCCAGATACTGAATGTTTGAAGCAAAGTGCAAACCAGAGGAGTAGACACTATTTCTGGATTTCTTTTAAAAGAGCAAGGCTTATTATAAGTCACCGGTGCACACTTAATCCTCTTCTTTGCACAAGAGAAGGGCCAAGTAGCTGGTAAAACCGAGTTAGGTTAACCTGGTGAGCCAAGTTAGCTCCCTTCCTCCCTCCGGAAGTGTGAACATCTGGAATATGACATCTTAGAGCCAGGGGCTCTTACTTTTAGCAGCCTCTCAGCATTTATTTCTCAGGTAATGTCAAAGGCAAGCCAAGCACAGCCAGAGTAGCAGCTTTGACCCTCTGGCTACGCAGATGTTCAAGAAAACATTTCTAAATGTATCTGAGACAGCTCAAATACAGTCCAACAAAAAGCCCCTGGTGGCCGGAAGAAGTGACGCTAAGCCAGTCCCATTCCTCTGCTAGAGTACAGTGGAGACGGTGCGAAGGGCCCTTACGGGCAGTGGTGTGAGGCTGGGTCCCCCACGGCCACAGCACATCCAGCACCCTCCTGACCTGAGAGGACCAATGCTGGCAGCAAGAGGCCGCCATAGGCCTCCGTGGAGAGCCCAAGTTCTGAGTGCCAAACGGACAGTTACAATCGCAGATGAGGAGACTTCACTCCCGGCACCTTCACATCCTTCATCTGATTTCATGAACTTGCACAAACTAACAGTCACCAGCACCAAAGAATGAAGTCAACTAACTAACCTGCCTTGAGTTTTAGACCAGCAATCCATATGGCTTTATCTGGTATAAATCTTCTGCCTTTGATCATTTCTGGACCATGTAGGAAAAAGGAATAGCAGTTATTAAAATCTTAAGCCAGAGAACACTATTTTTACGTAACAGTTTCTTAACCTATAATCAAGCCCCAAGGGTTGCCTGAGATCCTTCATGCTTTCACTGAGGGCTAAGTCTCTTCTTGCAAATGTCGTGTGAGCGCTAACACCTCCCCCAGGTAAGACCCTGATAGTGTAGCTACCGTCCACTGCCTCTTAACAAGGACACATCTGACATCCGGTGTTTGGTTGGAATAAGCAGCACATTATAATGACAACACAAAATGGATTCATCTTGTATCATTATAGGCAGAAAATATTTGGCAAATTTTTATGTATTGTTTATGTACTGTACAAGTAACTTATTCTTGAATAATGCAAATTTTGCTATAATGTACAAAATGCTACATGTGAATTAAAAGTTTGCAGAATCTCGATTTGTTGCCACAGTATTCAAAGGCTCAATCCATGCTAACCTTGGTCACTGCGGCACCCTACTCCTGCCCACACACTGGCTTTGCCCTCTTTCCTCCTCTCACAAATCAGGCCTCCGAACAAGCGCTTATGGAATCTACAGCAATAAGCGGCTTTGGACGCCTCGGCATCGTCTCAGCCCTCTGGCTTCCTTTGTCAGTTTAAAAAGAAAACATCTCCTGCCCCCTGCTGGTACAACAGACAGATGCCTGGGTCAGGACAACTGGCCAACGACACTCGCTCTGGGTTCAGAGATCAAAAAAGAGGCTTACAGATCCTTGCAGGCCGAGGCTGTGGATTTTCACTCAGTGCTTCCCACTCAGCTCTGGCCAGCCTTCCTCCTGGCGCAGAAGTCTATCTCAGTCTTGTCTTTCTCTAGATACCTTCAACCAGAACTAAAGGTGAAGAAGAAAAATCATTTGCCAGCTAACCTTCCAGCATGTCGAGAAAGCACTTAGCACTCTTACCTTGCTAGTAAATCCCCTATGCACAGAATTGGCTTACACAAACACACACTAACTTGGTATCAGTTTTTAAAACTTTTTTTATTTTTTAATTTTTTTTAAGTTTTTATTTTATATTATCTACAAAGTAAAAGTTTGTCCCTTAACTTAAAAGTTGAATCACTGTAGACAGTGATCACTTCATCAAACTTGATTTATAAATAATAATCCATCCGTTTTTTGACGGTAAGAATTTACTGAACCTTTGTCAAGTTTAGTAAAAGGGTGTTCCAAGTCTTGATTTTTTTGTTTTGTTTTGTTTTTTAGCTGGAATAGCAGCAAGAATCACTCTTGTTACTTCTTTTGCTAGCTGATGTGTTCATGACTTTCAAGGGTCATTAAAAAATAAATAACTTCCAGTTTCAGCAAGCAGAGCTGGGGTACTTGCGGGGCTCTGAAACAGCGGATGGGATTATGGAACAGCCCACAAGTTCCTAAATGCCTCTACTCGGTCCGTGTTTCTTCCACTGCAAGTGGACTGTTAGCATTCCTATCGGATGTTACAAGAAATCAACGTATCTTTTAAAAACAAAATAAATGAAATTCTAGTTTTCTGTGCTTCCAGTTGGTAGAAGCAGTAGAAGGGAGGAGGGAATTTGGCCTTTCGGTTCCTCCAGGGCAGCCTTACAACTGCTGTTGGTGGTGGGCTTGTACTGTAAAAAAGAAAAGTGAATATTTAAACAGAAAACTGGCAACCCCACACATTGGCCTAGTGTCTCGCAGCACGTGACTGCACGCTGGCTATCCTTGTGCTAGCTGAGCAAGACCCTACTCCCATCTGCACCAAAAGGGGAGAGGATAGGTGGGCGGGTAGAAACAAACCGGTCAGACATGAACCACTTCAGATAAAGCTCCCAGAAGACTTGTTGCTCATGGGCTAGGAAAAAAGGCCTTAACGTAGCCCCTCCCCTGTATTAGCCAAGCACCAGTATTGCTTTCACAGTAACAGGTTAGACTGAAATGTCGCCATGGCAGCACAATCGCGGGGCCTTCTCCACCCGTCAGGGCATAGGCTAGAGCTAATACTGCACTCGGAACCAACCATACACAGCGCTTTCTCATGAGTAGTCGTCTCCAGAGCTACAATCAAACTCTGCCATGGTCATAGTCCCCCACACTGTCAGACTGCTGGGACTCGGGAAGGAAGACGCTGCCCTGCCCAGCCTGTCGTAACGAGGAAGGCCAACTGAGTCCCGAGGCTGCTTCGGCTACACAGAATGCTGCTGCTGCTGCTGCTGCTGCTGCTACTGCTGCTGCTGCTGCTGCTGCTGCTGCTGCTGCTGCTCATCAAGCCAAACCCTGGATACCATCAGAACACACACGCAGCTCCTGGAAGCTTCAGGCCCTGACTCTAAACTGACCGTCACAGTCCCTATGTGCACACTCTGGTGGGCCTTGCTAGCACTCAAATGCGGGGCTGAAGCGCTGGCCCTGCCTGCCATTCGACCTGTGCGAGCAGAATGCTTGGGGTGCCCGGCGGCCCCTGCACACACACGCCTCACCTGAAGGGTGCGTCATATAGGGGAAATGCGCTGTTGTCGAGACTGGAATGGGCTGTAGTGCACTTTGAGCGAGGGCGGCCTGGGGACCGCCGGGTGGCTGTGTCGTCATTAGCATCATTGGCGCATGGGCAGTTGGATGAGAAGGAACCATTCCTGACTGTACATGAGCCTGAAACAGAGAGCTCTTTTACGCATACAGGCAACATCTCCAGCTTAAACAACATGTCATCTGTGTTCCTTTCGCTGGGCTGGGGCTCTCAGGAAAGGGCAACGGTGGGCCCTCTGCCCTGAGTGTGCTGGGGACACTCCCTAGTCGATCAGCAATTGGCCTACACAGACATACTTGACCCTCTAGCAGACCTTGCCAGGCCGAGGAAGCAGGCTCCCAGCAAGCCTGCGTGAGTCAGGGCTGCGATGCCCTAGCCTTTGAGACTTCCGATCGCTGGATTCTACATATTGGGGGCAGGGTCTCCACAAAGATCAGAGGCTCTGATCCACGGGCAGCGTTCTCAGTATGAGGTGAGATGGAATGATACTTCAGAATCTGGCTTCAATGTGGGGCCTGAAATAGTGTGACAGGTAGTTTCTCTTTAAGTAGGAGAGCAGACGACTACACTACAGAAGCAGAGACTGGCACTTCTGGTCCACAGATGACTTAGCCCTCCTACTTGCCCTTCCCCCTCTGCTTTTACCCTGCTCACCAGAGGAGACTCTCAAGGCCCCTTAATTCTGCTAAAAGACATGCTGCTGGGCCAGCAGGAGGAGGGTTGCAACTGAAGGCTCAACTGACATGGGGAGAGGTGATCTCGGAACCGACCCAGGCCAGCCCAAGGTACCTCCACCAAGTGAAAGTGAGTTCAACCTGGTCTCACTGTCAAGTTAGAAAGGTTTCAGTCGGCCCCAATAGCTGCATGCCAGCTCTTGCAGGGATTTGACAGAGCCAGGAAAAGCCCTTGTTTCCTGCCTCCCACACTGTGCACTTTCTAGACCACAATAAGCCTTGAACGAAATGCTGTTGTTTTCTCTGACATATTCAAATGGAGCCATGGCATATTCAGGTGGGCATTAGGTGTTCACCTTTTGCTCTTTCAGCACAAAACACAAAGTGAGGTTTCAGGAACCCCAGCTGAGATGTACATTCACATACCTACTTAGCCACCAGCCTCTGCTAGACATCTACAGGATCCCAGCTCTCGTGAAGCTCTCGATTCCACCAAACCACGCTGACCCACACCTGACCACACCAGCTCCCTCCCAACCACCAGAAGCAGACCGTCCTCTGCAGCGCACCACACGACAGACGCTACACTTCTGAGGGGAGCACCCCTAGACCTCCCAGAGTTGCGGAATGCTAGTTACAAGGTCGCCTTCTGAGAGTTAGCTCCAACTGAGTCGCATCTCCAGCCCCCGCCATGCCACAGCCTCCCTGGCACACTGTTTGAAGTGAAATGGAGATCAGTGAGGCAGTCTAGCTTATGCCTGCCTACGAGTTTTGTCATGAAAGCAGCCCAGAGAGACATCGAACAGCCGATTCACCCTTAACAGCTCCACGGAGGGCCTCATGGACAGCGTTAGAGCCCAACCTCAGTGCAGCTCCTCCTCACTGAGACAGTCCACCTTGACCCTGGGATGCACTGGGCTCTTGTCAGCAGCTGATGCAGACAGCAACCACTGAGATGGAGACTCCACCTTTCAACTGTTAGAAGCTTACACTGGAGGTGAGCTCCAAAGTGCTTCCCGAGCCGCTCTTTAAGAACATGGGAACACCTGGGTGCTTCCAGCTTCTAGTTACACTGCACAAGGCCAAACCCTTTCAAGAAGCACAACATATGGTCAAAGCAGAGATACAGACAGCCAGGGAAAGCAAGTGGTAAGATTTCTCTGGAACTCATGTGACTGGCATTCAGGGTGACAGGCCCAGAGTAGTCAAGTCAGATAGCTACGGATCTGCGAAGGCCCACCTTCCCTGAGGGGGGCGGGGGGGCGTCCCTGGAAGGGGTAGGGAGAAAGGGGGCGAGAGTGTGAGAGCGCACATGCGAGCGAGAGGGAGAGAGGGAGGGAGGAGAAAGAATAAGTGAACATATATAAATAAATATAAATATATATATACACACATATATAAATATATATATGTATAAATATATATATATATATAGTAACTAAGGTACACAAGCACAGCAAAGCAGACATAGAAAGGAAAGGGCTAGGTTGCATTCCAGAGTCAAACGATATTTTTAAGGTCTCAGCTGGGAAGCGTTAAAGGACTAACCAACTTCACTGTTCTATCACGAAACCACACAAGCATTCATTTAGGGCCAGATCACATGGATTTGAGCAGGAAAAGGAAGACAGGAGAATAGTATCACACACAGGGTCTCCTAGCCTGGAGAGCATCTGGCTCTTTGTGGTTTATCTGATAACCTTCATTTTCCACTTATCTTCACAGAAAGTTGGTTAAAGTTGGTTTACCTGAGGTACGTGGGCCATGTGGGGTGGATTGGTGTATGCAGGCTGAACGTGAGAAGGATGAATTGTAAAGACCGTCTGCTGTGCCGCTGGGAAGCTATTCTGTGGTGACTGCGTATTGGAGGCAGGTGTCATGGAAGGCGGAGTTGGAGCCAGCCCTGCGTGGTAAATGGCTGACTGCTGCTGAGGACTGGCCAGATGCAGAGCCTGGGCGGCCTGGTGCTGATGATGCTGCAGAGTTGGAAGAATCAAGAAAACCACTTCTTTAACACAAAACAGATAAGGATTATGCTAAAACTGAGTTCTGCCCGTGAAAACAAGCTCCTCCTGACCACTGAAAGTGAAGGGCAAAAAGTATAGCAGTGGAACAGGGTGGCAGAGCAGGACAGAGCAGGGCCTCCTACTCAGAGCTGCTCCACTTAAGGCCAACTGTCAGCCAAGCAGTTCTAAGTCTTCCATCAAGAAAAGGAAAAAAGAGACTATTATCCCGTGCAACTGACAGAGGTCAAAAATCCTTAACTGCCTCTGTTAACAAACATGGTTTAAAAAACTAAAAGGGAAAACTCAAAGATTAGAAGTAAAAAACAAAACAAAACAAAACAAAAACCAAGCAAGTTTCCAACTTTATATTACATTAAAATTTAAAAATGTTTGTATGGGCCCTCCCTGGTGGCGCAGCGGGTCACAGCACAGCACTGAGAAGCAAAAGCCGCTTCAGCATCAGTTCGATCCCCGCCTGCCCCGGAGGTGACCACAGGGCGCAGCAGACCTCTCCTGACCCGCCCGCTGCTCCCCCCAGCAGTGTGCTTCATGGATCTGCCCGTTCTGCTCCTCGCTCTGGTGAAGCCTCTCACTGTCCCTGCACCTCTGGCCTGTAACCCCAGTTCTGGATGCATAAATAAATCTTTAAAAAAAAAAAAAAGTTTGTATGTTTCCAGAATGTACCCAATCACCTTATTCTTTATATTTCAACGAGACAAATGGGAGTAGGGGACAGAGCAGAGAGGCAAGGCCTACGGAGTATTTGGATCATAGGGTGCCTAGCACCTTGCCTGGCACTGAAGCAAACTCTCAGTAAACAGAATGAGGAAGGCAACTCTGTGACAGCCTCGGAGTTTCTCCTACCTGGACAGGACTGGGTGCAGGATGACTTCCCCCATGCTGGCTTTGCTGCTGTCCAGTGGGGGTTGCTGAAGGTTGAGGATGTGGAGTATGTGGATGCAGGGTGGCATTAGGGTGCGCGTACTGCTGAGCAAGAGAGCCAGTGGAAACTAAAGTGAAAGAGAAAGAAGCATGTACACTGAGATGCATGATGATCCTAATTGACCATTATGACTCCTCAACCAAACGTTCTTGATGCTAAATGTCTAATTTAGGCTGCTAGTAGTTATCTATGTGATTCCATTTCATTTTCTTTTAAAAAATTACATTATTGCTTAACAATCAGACTAATATTTCATTTGACAAAGCTATACATATTACCTTCAAGTCTACACACACACACACACACGCGCGCACGCTAACTCAAGGCCATCATTGGCTAACCTCACCATGCTACTGCCCTGAACCTGGCACAGTGCCCTGTAGGCACAGAATACTCCTGGGGAAGGTGCAGGCCAAGCTACGTGGCACAGTCAGGGCTCTGTTCTCAGGACCAAATGACCCCAAGTTCTCTCCGCTGGTCACAGAAGCCACTCTGCACTTAGCTCATTCCCTCAGCCCTCTCTCAAGGACCTCTCCCTTTTGCTCTTTAAACTCTTAGTGGGTGGCATTACTCAGAGTATGTACAATGAGTGCCCTTTAAAGTGCCACAGCCTTTAGAAAGTACTTTACTAGCCAGAATAACTTCAAAAGGCAATGAATAAAAATTGGCCATGCTTTAGTACAGAACAGGGAGGTTAGGTAGAAATTAATTTCTTATCTGCTCATAGCAGCAATCTTAGAATCAAAAATAAAGATGGGTCTCACTGTTCCCAGGGACTGCTGACAGCACACTGACACAAATGATGTGGCTGTAAGTGATGTGTGATAAGCTGAGGAAAACGTCTACCAACAACAAATGTTGTAACCCCCCAGCCTTCTCTCAAGTTAGCCCTAAAATCCCCAGATGCTAAGCCCATACACAGAGAGTCCCAAGATGGTTTCTTGTGTTCTCCATACGATGGTCAGCTAAAACAGACAGGAATCGATGGGAGAAACAAGGACTGCTTGGGATTATGCACCCTGCCTCTAGCCTTCTGACTAGCAATGCCAGAGACTGGATAAGCCTTATGCAAATGCTACACAGAGAAATATGCACACCAAGCAGTTCTGTAGTGCTTGACAATGTACAGCCAACGGTCACAGGTACTTCACAGATACACACAAAACTGGCTCCTACCCCAAATGTACCTCTTAAAAAGAGTAAAGGACAAAGTGAAAAACCAGTGCTAGGATCACCTGTGCATCCACTGCCAATGCCACAGCAGGCATTAATATTTGTCAATCCCCAGGTATGATTAAAAAAAAAAAAAAGCACTTGTGTTTATACATTGGGGAATCTCCCTAATCCTAAAAATTAACATACACTGGGACCTATTAACAAGGAAAAATGTGCTAACATATTCTCTGGATGTTTTAAAGAATTCAGGGACTGCTTTCTGGAAGCAGGGGACAACAGTACACTAAAATGCTTTCTCTGCCTCCACAGTTCTATCACTTTATGAAAGTGGCCAGCATCTCTCTTTTACAATTCACTGACTTATTAAAAGGCCTTTCATTTCCATCACAGTCATTAATTTAACTTTCAGATCCTCCATTCAAAGCACTGAGTTGTTCTAAAAAAGTTGTTGTTGTTTTTTTTTAAACAGGCTTATTTCTTTATGCATCCAGAACTTGGGTATAGGCCAGAGGTGTAGGGGCAGTAAATTCACCATCGACAGAGTGGGGAGCAGAACTGACGAAGGCAGACTACAGAGTACACTGCCGAGAGGAGCAGCCAGTGAGACAGGAGAGGTCTGCTGCACCATGTGGGTCACTCCCTGGCTGGGATCGAACTGGTGGTACTGAAGTGGATGCAGATAGGTTTGTAGTTCAGCACTTTAACCTGCTGCGCCACCAGGCAGGGACCATCCAAAAGGTCATAAATTTTGAACCTGACTTTGTTCTTGTTTTCCAAATTTATTTTTAAATAATTAAAACAGCCACACGTAGCTGGTGACTACTGATAGCACAAATCATAGAAATTTCCATCATCAGAGTATTCTGTTGGATAGCGATGTCTACTCATTCATGCTCCCCTAAACTATCAGCTTGCCCCCAAACTTCTTAAATGTTTGATGTGTAGCAATACTAAATCTGCTGGGGTAGGGGCCTCCCTGGTGGCGAAAGGGCTGAAGCGCAGCACTATGAAGCAATCCACGGCTGCTTCCGTACAAGTTTAATCCCCGGCCAGGGAGCTGACCCACAGGGTGCAGCAGACCTCTCCTGTCTTGCCTGCTGCTCAGCACTGTACTTCTTTAATCTGCCTGTTCTGCTCCCCACTCTGTCTCTGGTGAGTCCTCTCACCACCCCTATACCCCAGTTCTGTATGCATAAATAATAAATCTTAAATTTCATAAAACAGAATATAGGATCTCAGTTTCTAACTCAGTTTAAAACTCAAATTCAAGAAATTTTTCAACTAAAAGTTTAAAATATCATCTTTAATTACCTTCTAAGCAAATATTAAGAATATATAAAGTAACACTAAGAGAAAAAACCTCTAGCTAGGTGCTCTACTAGCTAGTGTTTTCCACACATAAAAACACGACCTGTAATTACAAACAGAATAATATGAGGTTGACAGCAGCTCATAATTAAGTATTCAGCATTTAGAAAAATATCAAAAACTTATTTGAAGAAATTTTTTTTACTATTCATATTTTAAAGATTATTTTGTAGTGAAGGTTATCACCAATATTTAAAGGCTATAAAACAGAATAATCTATATCTCATTTATAGCAAAATTACCTCAAGCAATGCAAGCTGAGTACATGTACTTAGGCTGTTATCTAAAAACTTACATCCTTCTCCTACCTAAACACCTGTAAGCTACAGGCACTATAAGAAAAATCAAACAGGTAGAATCAACACATCATAAGTTGCAAGTAAAACTTAGGGATTTTAACTTAGAAATATTTCCCTTATATTCCAGTGTAAAAGATATAAAAGCAAGTACCTTACCCAGAAACTCAAATAACTTGATAGCAGGATGGAGAAATTACTTAAATACTAGTAACCAGAAAAAAAAAGTCTGGCTCTCTCGTTAAGAGTGAGACATAGGTGGGATAAGAGGGAAATTAAAGGACTGAAGGAAAGAAAAGGTTGGAAGAGAAGAGAGAGGCAAGAGAAAGGAAACAAGATAGAACAAAAGAGAAGTGAGATCACACACTCAGAGAAAGGGAGCCGTGGAGGCAGGCAGGAGTGTCGAGCACTGGTGGGCTAAGTGTGTTTTCTGACTGTTTTTAATCACTTGTGATTCATTAGTTTAAAGATTCCAGAGTGGTTAAAAAAAGGTGAATTTTCTTCAAAATCCTGACTTAACTATTCATCAGTTAAACTTCCACTCATAAAACTTAAATCACCTCAGAAACACTTGGACTAAGTCAAGCTAATCAAGCAAGTGTCACGTCTGTGGGTCAAACGTGATCCAGAAAGTTTCTCATTCACTACTTCTTAATGTAAATGTTTAAAGATCCAAATACACAATGCCTAAAAATCCTGGTAACACAGCCACATTCCAAGATCAGTTCCCGAAACCACGACCTTACTGAACCAGTGCAGTTCATCAGTTGTGTGTTTAATCTGCAACCAGGCTTTGTCATTTTGACCGTGGATGCGTAAGACCCAAGTCCTAAGTCGTAAGGTCACCAGCACACCAAAACTTAAAAGACAAACAAAATAAAAATCATCTATCTGACTTTTAAATTTGATATAAAATTGAGAAAAAAGGAAGTGAAGGAACGTTGAAAATTCTTTACAAGACAACTGGACCGAGTCACGGACAAAAGGCCTGAGGAGCAGCGGCCCACTCAATCACAAATACAGCCCACTGCTGCTGCTTTCACTGCGCTAGTCCTTTGGAGGGAAAGTCGTGCTGGGGTAGTAGTAACGCTTAGGTGTGATGATTAAGGACCTGTTAGCTGCTACCCAGGAAACGGACTCCAAGACTACTAACAGAGACAGTAAGATGGTGAGGATAACTAGGCTTGAGACCTCGGCTTGAGTGAACAACAAAATTAATTCGGACACTGTCCTTTGCATGCTACAGCACATACAGAGTTTCCCTTCAATAGTATATACATACAGCAAGACTCCTTTTTAAAGAGCAACTATTAAAGGATTAACGTGTTAACATTTCCCAGCTCCAAATAAACAATATATACATACTTATTTTTGGATACCAAGTCATGGAACGATGAATGGGAAGTTAAAATATTTTCCAAATGATTTTTTAAAAAGATTTGGTAGTAAATTCAGTCATTCTAAAATGAACACTTTAGTAACTAACATTTCATCTTAATACTCCCTAAAATACAGTATTTTACATAAAACGACACATCTTATTGGCATAAATTTCTGAAGGATTTCTTGGCATTAGTAACCTTCCTATCCAACTACTTACAAGTCACTGACAGGCCTTATTTTACAAGTTCATTTCCAAATGAAAGCCCTGTCTTAAGTTTTTTCCACTGAGGAGCAATCATTTGTTCTTCACTGGCGGTGAGAGCAAGACCAGCGCTCCTAAGGGTGACCTCTGCAGACAGCGGTCAAGCTGCTGGCCATGCTTTTGCACTCAAGACATCTCCTGAGGTTTCCACCACCTGGAGAGCTGAACCGTTCAGTCACTCACAGACTGGAAAGAAAATGTCTCACCTCTAGTATCTCAATCCTCTCCAATGAACTATCTTGGTAAAGGTAAGTCTTTACTTACTGGCTAACAAAACAACTAATTATATATACTTTTATATTAGCTTGGGGCTTAAAAAACATTAACAACTGCTCAAGAAAGTTTTCTCTGAAGAGGAAAATATCAGGCACTTCTAAGACAATCGTGTTTGCTTGGTATGCAAAAATTAATTTCTGAAACAACTCAATTTTTAATGAACTCCAGCTTTCTTAAGCTGGGTTGTATTTCCCTTTTAAAAACTCTGAATTGCTTACAGATACACATATTTTTAATGATTTTGTCCGGCACAAGTAAAGTATTGCTCAACAAGTCTACTCCCTTAACATGTGTTCTTTAAAAAGCGTTTTACTGTACAATTAAAATTAGTATAAAAAACCCAACTCACTGGCAAAGTAGAAAGAAGGGCTTGTCTCCTTGTTGTATGGTAATTTGGGACATGCTGAATTTGGGAAATAGAAAGGTACATTAGCCTTCTGAGGTGTTCATTGTCCTAATTTCCTGGAAAGGTCGACATCTTCAGTAATTTCCTTTTGTATTCATGCATAATTCATTTTTCTTATTTTATAAGCTATGATAAGCACTTAAAACATTGCTATAAAATTAAGTACAATAGGGCTCAACCAAAAGACACCTCTTTTGTATTGCATTGGGATATCAAGTTCCACATGCTGACTTGCTTACAAGAATAAGTTACCTAATAAAAAGATTAATATGGCATTCCACTGAACAACCTTCATATGAATAATGTACCAAAACAATATTGATCAAATTTTGATTCAAAAGATTCAATTTCAGGGTGTTTGTGTATCTGGAAGGGTTAATAAGCATGACAATGTTAACAAGGGACTGTCAGGCTGGAGGGTTGAGAGATGAATACATTTTAATTCTATCTACTTTATTTTCTTATTTATCTGAATTAAATTATCAAAACAAACCAAAAGTAGATTCTGATTCTAGCTCTTCCTGATGTTTTTCGTTGGTAGTTTCATTATTACTGACTGTAATGGAAAACTACTGCCACAAATGAAATTAGATAAATTAGAAGACTAAATGTTAAGGAAATAAAAAGTAACATCTCAGGAGGAAAGGGGCAGAAGCAATGATGAAAGTTAGAAAGGTAAAAGAAATAAAGTTTGTAATCAGAGTCCTTTCTCAGATGGCTAGAGAGAGTACAAAGATCAACAATTATTAATACTTTCAGTGTAATCTAATAATTTATGTCGTCATTTTATATTCAATACACTATTTTAAGTTAAAAAGTCTTTCATTTTGCTGTCACTAGTAGTCCTTTCCATTCTCAAACCACTTTATAGCCACAATGACAAAAAAGGTGACAGATACCTGTCACCAATATTCAGGAGTATATTCTTCTATTTGCATAAAATCTATTATTAGGATTTAATAGATTAAAAATAAACAATTCATACTCAAAATATCTGATTCTTTTGGAGATCCTTAAGTTACTCATGAGAGATGAGTAAAAAAAATCAGCATTTCTGTGTTAACAGTTATGTCTTACATTAAAAAAATGTGTATTTGGCATAATTAAGCTATAGAAGATCAAAAATAATTTAAAGAAATTAGGGAAGAAGTCATGAGTTTGCTTGCAATTACATTACAACTGCAAAGGACAAAGCAGTTCAGCTCTTAGTCTTCCTTTTAGGTAATTAAGTATTCAGAAGAGAACCTTGATTAACCGGCAACAAAGATACCAAGGTCACGGCCTTGCCCACCACCGCACTTATCGATTAAATACGGCCTGTGTAAGTCACAGAAGAGTGGTTTCTCCTGGCAAGGAAGAACTGGCATTGAGGACTAGTTCAATTCCAGATTCTACCAGACATAAGGTCTAGTATTTTACTGTTTGCATATTTCCTATTTACTTTCCTAATTACCCACATGTGAACAGACTTAAGGATTCAAGACCAACTGCTTTTCAAATGGAAATGTTCCAGGAAGGTAGTTGTAAAAAAACCATTAGGAGATCAAATGTTTACAGGCTGTTTCAAACAAATGAACATCCATTCGACAGACAAAGCCACATGTCTACAGTGAGTGAACACATTGAGGAGAAAGACTCTACTCAAGATCACATTATTACTACGATGTGGCAAAAGTTTTGGTACACAAATGGCTTTACTCTAAGAGCAACGGAAACTTCAGCTCAGGCGTTTCAATCTTATCCCAAAGGAAGTATGCCAGAAAACAGAAAGGAGGAAATATATCAACAATCATAATGAACTTTTTTACCTGAGCCTTTAACAAACTGGAAAATTACTGAAACATATACAAACTGTATAAAAGCCAGTGTGGTCAACCAAGGATACCTTTTCATACACACATAGTCCTGGTTAAGGCAAATATAAGCAAGCCAGTGACATAATCAAATCATGTGCAAAATCAGTTTGTCAGCATACTTTTCAATTAAGTTATGGATGGACATCTTTAAAGAAATGTTTTCCAAAATGTAGAAACTACATCATTTTTTTAGAAGGACATAATCTGCAATAAAAATATTTCAGTGAGGCTGTCGGAACAGATGTAAATATTTTAGCGAAGTAATGCCTTTAGTAATGAAATACCTAACAGTAAATCTGTGTGACAGGTACATGCCTCCAGGAAAGACGCACAAGTGGCAGGTTACCAGTGACAAGGGTGATCGCTGCTGCCTAAGTACTATTCCTGTCAACCTACAAAACGTTATCACAATCTAAAAATTAATGAAACTGGTACTGACTAAAGAAACATTTTGAAATGCATGCTATGGGACAATCCATTAATACTAAGATATAAGTGAAATTTTATTTTAAATTCTCAACACTGAAAACCATGTTATTTTAGTTCTTTAGATTGCTGCTAAGTTGCCTGAACGAAGCTTTCTGATCAAAAACCTAAGACCGTAGTTTTTAATATTAATTTTATATAGAAAACTTTTCATTGACCATTGTTTGTAGTGACTGTACTTAAAGTGTGACTCATATCTATAAACACATTTATTATACAATTTCGGCCACATAAAATACAGCACAATTAAGAACACACAGCATCATTACAACAAGCAGTAATAAAAATATGTAATCAGCTACCCCCAGGACAAGTAACCAGAATATTTTCTGGCCGGAGAGGCTTTCAATAGAATAAAAATTTTCTGCATATTTTAGGCAAGGCATATCAAATGACAATAACAGAGACAGAAGACCCCTTATCCACAAAAGATGCTTTCCATTACACACATCATTACATTTTCAAGGAGAGCTATTTGGACAGAGGACCTTCAGATACAGAAATGACTTGGAAATGACTTGCCAAGACTTTTAAAACAGGTCAAAGATAGAACTGGTTTCATCTTTTCTTGTCTCTTGACTTTCATTATCATCAAAGACCAAGTTATTTGACAGAGAACTTTCTAGCGCTCTAATACCACACTAAGAATAGCGATACACACTGAAAAAGACAAAGTGCTTCCTACCATACATCGCATGCGTCTGCTCATGCGCCCCGTACTGAGCTGCTGAGGACGACACTAACGCAGGCTGGGCGTGCGCTGGGGGCGCCACCATCCTGGCGCTGCCCTGCACGACAGGGCTGTACACATGTGGGTGCTGCGTTTAAGCAAAAAATAAGACAAAACATTAAAATACCAAGCAGAGTCAAGCAGATTGCAGCTAGGCATCTTCATTACGGCACGCTTTCTAGAAATAACTGAAAACCCTAAAACTTTTCTTCATGTTTTCCCTTTGAAGTACTTCTACTGATTAGCAATCTCCTAATATATACTTTTAAAAAGGCCGACAAATCCTTAACCATCTACCTCACCATAATACCAGTGATAAAGGAAAACCCTCTAAACCCTATCACAGTCAAATCTTTTAGTTATTTAAATGGAATAAAGTTAAGAGCTAGACCATGTCAGTCTTACCTGAGACTGATAATGTGGCACGTGCTGAACAAGAGGCTGATTTGGAAACTGCTGAGGGCTGTAGGCAACATACTGTGTGGAGTAAGCTGGTGGGGTGGCCACAATTGGTGGGCCTGCTGCTGAGGCTGGGTGCATCATGGTGCTCTGATGATGCTGGTCTTGCCGCTGTTGGGGCATATTTGGAACTGCAAAAGAGCCACCCAGTAAGAGAACCGAGCATTTCCTTCGCGCAAAACACACACACAGCCCACAGGCTCTGTACAGCCTAACCCTCCTGCCTGCATCTGCAATGTCACACTAGACCCTCCTCTCAACTCCCACCACTTCACAGTCACTTTTGAGTATCTTCCTATCACACATGCTATTTCTCAGGCTCAGACATTGATCCCTAAGACCCATCCTAAACAAACCCTAGGTCACCCTTCAGCTATCAGCTCGAGAGCAGCTTACTCTGATTATTTATGTGGCCCAGGCTTTATGAGTTGTTCTCACTCTTATACTACTTCTCAGACCATCCAACACACCAAATTATGCAACTTGCTAGAGATGGGCACTGGATTTATTCAGAAAAACAGAAGTATGGCCAAAAGGCAAAAAAATCCAACACTCATTTTAATCCTGGTTTCATTAATGTCCCACTATTGAATTTTACACAACTCCTTGCACTTTCTAAATACAGCATCACACACGATACATACAACAGTTTTTAAAATAACAACATTTTTAAAAGGTTACTCTGGGGCTTCCATGATGGTACAGGGAGTTATCCACAGCCACTACTGCTCAGAGTTGGATGTTGGCAGGGAGCTGACCCACAGGGCGCGGCAGACCTCTCCTGTCTCACCCGCTGCTCCCCTCAGCAGTGTATTTGTGCAGATAAGCCTGTTCTGTTTCTCACTGTGTCTGGTAAATCCTCTCAACCTATACCCCTGTACCTCTGGCCTACACCCCAGTTCTTTTATGCATAAAAATAAATCTCTAAGAGAAAAAAGTTACTGCCTTATTCTTCTTGCACAGATTTTTGCTTATCTTCCTCCCCCTATTAAACCTCCAGTTAAGAATTTAATTGTCATGTCTTTCCCAATAGCCCCAAAAAGCTAGCTACATGCTGTGTGCCTTTTCTTCACGTCTATAGCACTGACTGTTGCCTGTGATGGGTTTATGGTGTCTTTTTTTTTTCTCCCTTAAAAGGTTCATTTATTTATGCATACAAGAACTGGGGTACAGGCCAAAGGTCCAGGGGGTAAGAGGATTTACCAGAGACAATATGGTGAGCCGAACAGGTAGATCGACTGAAATACACAGCTGAGGGGAGCAGCAGGCAAGACAGAATAAGTCTGCTGCGCCCTGTGGGTCAGCTCCCGGGCCGGGGATCCAACTCGTGCTGTAGTGGCTGCAGACAGCTTCCCAGTGCTGTGCTTTAAGCCGCTGCGCCACCAGGGAAGCCCAGGCTGTGGTGTTAACCAAGCCACTTGAGGGAAGTAATCTTGAACCACAATGAGAAATAAGGCATGAAGCACAAATGATAGATTAACTTGGAATGTCCATAAAATTTTAGCTTTTTAAAAATACTTTAAATATTTGCATTTTTTTCCTAAAAATTAAGACTTGATGAAATTTAAGAGAGTGAGTTACATACTGCTTCATCAATTTAGAGACACACTTTGGTTTTATGGTGGTTTTTTCTCCCTAAATTGAATATAACCTAAATGAAAGCTAGATGGACCATTTCTTTATGTCAATGGTTTTCAACTGGGAGCAATTTCGTCTTTCAATGCACATTTGGCAATGTCGAGAAATATTTCTGGCAGTCACAACTGAGAAAGGGGGAGGCTACTACTAATACCTAATGGACAGGAGACAGGGACACTAAGAAATATCCAGTACACAGGACATTCTTCCCCTCCACACACCATCTATCCCAAAATGTCTAGTATTGCCAAGGTTAAGTAATTCTGCTCTGTATTACTCAAGTTCTTAACTTTGACTTATTTTCAAACACAGCTGAATTTTTTCCACAAGTCGCAAAAAAGATATTTCATTATATGCCAAGTAAAGAGGTGGTTCACTGCAAAGGTTCTACTGTTAGGTAGAAAAGATGCACCTTCCGACATAGTATAAAACACAAAGAATCCATGGCTGCATTCAAAAGCAAGCCCTTGACTTTGCCTACTATTTCACAGTAAGGAGCAGGATATAAAATTAACAAAAAGCCAAAGAGAGCCTACACATAGTACTTTATCATAAACTTACTCCATAAATAACTATTTAGGAGACACAATGCAAAAAGACTCCAAGCTTACACTGAGAATAGAAAAAGAAAATATCTAAGGCATAAGCTGAAGAAATATACAAAAAGAGAAACATTTAAATACACAAAATTAAACATATAAATTTAATAAAAATGGCCAGTTGCAAACTGAATGTTAAAAATCATGAATTCATTCTGATAGAATGACAACAAAACCTCACTGGTTACTTCTGAAGGATAACAGGAAACCAGCTCATTATTTTAAGAGCTGCCTTAAAAATGAAAAGGGGTACATGCATATGTTGAATGCACTGAAGTCTGTCTTGGTCTTTAACATACACACTTTCCAAGGTCTTTGCTGACACTCTCTCCTTGCCTGTAGTCAGTATTATTCTGATGAACTACTAGTCACACAACTCCAATTAAGCCTCTAAAATTTTTAATTTTCTGAATTTTGACTGGAGACGGGGAACAAGAATAGGGTCAATATTTGGCCTTCTATGTGCCCAGAAGGTTTTCTCTGTATTCATTCTGATTGGATGAGACACTTGATGGACTGACTGTTAAGTGTATGAATTCCCATTTCCAAATTAGCAGTAGTTGGAATTGAGTCACCTTTTGATAGAAACTTAAAGATTTTTACATTTCTACCTATCATTCTAATCCATTAAAATTAATTCAAGAGAGAAAGGAAATGGTAACTATTTTAGCCGCCTTTCTCTGTACCTCATGGATGTAAGCCCTGAAACCATAAACTATGTAGAAGAAAACGGATAAAACGCTCCATAACATACATCTCCGAAGCATCTCTGAATACTCATCCCCCCAAAAAAATGAGGAAAAAAAGATAAAAAGCTACATCAGACTAAAATGCTTCTGTACAACAAGAGACAAAACTAAAATGAAGAGACATACTACAGATTGAGAGGAAATATTTATACTCTACAACTGAGAGTTTTCGCAATCCAACAAAAGAAAATGACAAAGTAAACAACCCAGTCAAAAACTGAGCAGAAAAGCTAAAGACATTTCTCCAAAAGGGAAATGCAGATGGCCAAGAGGCATATGAAAAAATGCTCAACGTCACTTCTCAGGAGGGAAATGCAAACCAAACCCACAACCAGATACCACCTCTCACTAGTAAGATGGCCCACATTTAAAAACTAACAACAAATGCTGGGGAGGATGTAGAGGAAAAGGAACCCTCTTGAATTACTGGGAGGGGCATGGGTGCAGGGTTTCTCTTGGACTGATAAGATGTGCTAAACAGACAGATGATCATTAGACTACTCTGGGAATGCACTAAATATCACTGGACTTTATATTTCTAGTGGATGAATTTTATGGCATGTTAATTATATCTAAATAAAGCTATTTTAAGAACAATGTAATTCACAATAAAGTATATCTGGCAAAACTAAACACTGTAAAGATAAATGCAAAATAACTTCAAATGATCTCCAGTTGATGGTGGAAAAGATGAGTCACCGCCTGGCATGGAAGTGATGAAGGTTAACTACAAGTGGGATGGAAGAGATTCCTCTGACCACATCTTTTTATGTAGCCTTCACTTTGCATATAAAGTACATAATTAAAATAATTTTAAAAAGCTATCCCTACAAATGAAAACAAACAACTACATTAACCTACTTACATATCAAATCATTGCCTTAAGAGTGATGACAGAAGACGGTCATTTTGAAAGTAACAAGGGTGCCACTCCTCACACTGAAGCTGGCACTTAAAGAATTGTTAGAAATCCTATACAGTAGTTCTTATCTGAAAACAAGTAATTTGAAATGTTTTACACACAACATAGGAATATGTAAATATTCAGCCTATGGGTGTCCCTGAAGAGTCACCTCCTGAGACGTACACTCTTGTGCAAGTCCTCCCTCCATTCCCGACCAGGTTTGTTCTTGCATATGGCAGAAGCTCTGTCACCTCCAAGGTCAGGTTATGAAGCACATGGGAGCTCCATTCTGGCTGGTTTCTCTCTGAACACTCACGTTGTGTAACCCAAAGCTATGTCATGACCAGCACAATCCTGCCAACAGTTTTTTGTTTGGAAGCAAAACTTCCAGCCCGTTAACCCTCCAGACACCTGCAGCAGCCCAACCACGACAACATTATGTCATGCGACTTCATAAGAGACAGGAGCTCCAGTAAGCCATTACCAGATTCCGGACCCTGAGAAACTGTGTGAAATACTATGTTGCTTTAAATGACAAAAACAGAGATCATTTGTTAAATAGGTATTAGTGTTGTCAGTATTTTTACAAGGCTTTCAGTGTAAAGAGAGTAAGAGATACAAGCAAAAGCTGTAGTAAAAATTGTGCTGTGTTAACCTGAAATGTAGGTATCAAATTTCTGAAAATATGGAAAGAAAAGAGAGAAAGTAGTATTTCTTAGTTTCATCCACTGAGGAAAAAATTCTAGAAGCAATAACTCAGCAGCAATACACACATGCTATTTTCTAGCAAAAAGAATCTCTGGGTCTGAGGTCAGAAAAAAATTAGCCTGAGACATGGTGTGTCTGAAGCAGAAAAGGGAAGCAAAGACACTCCTTAGCTAAGTTCCTCAGCACCAAGGAAGTAACCAGTGAACATGGGTAGTATTAATAGTACACAAGTCGATTTAGAGGAATTCCACTGTTCAGAAGTGAGGCAATGAGTGGCAAAAAGAACCAAAACACAGTGAATATGTACAATATATAAAAAAACAAGCACTCATGATAATTGGAAAAATTAAAGAGGGGGAAGAAAGTCACATCCTTTAAAAACGCTAACAGTTCCACTGAACAACCCTGGAAGTACCACAAGCACCGACTCCTTGCTCTACTGTAAACTGGCACTCACACCAACTATAAGCACTTACACTTAAGTATCAACCTTTCCTATAAAAACTATGTCATGGTCATCCCCTGCTCATGGATCGGGAGAATTAACATCATCAAAATGGCCATCCTGCCAAAAGCAATATACAGATTTAATGCCATCCCCATAAAAAT